TTTTTTTTTTTTTTCGCTGGTTGCAGGATCGATGCCAGAGAGAAGCCGGTGACCAAAGCGCAACACTCCTCGGATTCCGGTGTGTTTGGCCCGCGAGCGTATTTTCGCACCGCGTTCCCGAGTCCTGCGGTCCTCGTGATCGAGGACATCAAGAGGCACGACGCGGCCACCTACAGATGCAGGGTCGACTTCCGCAAGGGACAAACTCGCAGCTTCCGCTACAACCTCACTGTCATCGGTAAGTCATACTCTTTCTCTCTCTCTCTCTGTTCAATCTTTTCAACAATAGTGACGCACATTGCATTTGTAATAAATTTTAATCACCTGCAGTTGCGTACAATTCTTACACAAGTGTGTGAACTTGATCATTGAACGAACATTAATAATACGAATAATGTGATAATATTATATACGAATAATAATAAGTTATATAAGTATATTCGTGTATGTTTTTTTTTCAAATGTATTCTCGAATGTGAATTCTTTCTCGAGGACATGTATTAGCGCGTTCTTCTCTTAATTTTTCATACGGAAAATAGCGAACGCCTTTTCATTAATATCTTCGGTTATTTTCACCTCAAAAGAATGATAATTCCGCTCTGTTACAAAATTTCCCGTTCCCACTGCACTTAGACATTTTCGTTCCTTAAAATATTCAATAAAGTTTCACTGAGAGTCCAATGCTTCCATTTAGTTGTAATATACGGTAAAGATGATTTTTATTTTGATGATCAAGAGCAGACATGTAACTCTATATTCTATCTTTTATAAAATATACAAAAATATGTTACAATGAAACGTCTGATGAAAATATATGAATAATTCTTCCGATCGATAAGCGTATACGCCTTCGATATTCATTTCGTCGCGTATCGACGAGGGCTGAATGAACAAATCTGTGATTCGTCCAAAGTCGCGGAAAAAATTTCGCGGGCCTCGGCGGAATATCCGGCGAATTTTTGTTGCCAAAAGCAGCGACAAGCGACGAAAGAGTTTGATCAAGATCAAAGCGGCGGCTTTCGAAGGCAGTGAAAGGCGCGGCGTAATTTCTGGTGTCAAACAAATTTAGCGGCTCGTTGAAAAGGGCCCTCGAACGACGTATTAGAGGAACACGAAAGAGTAACGTGTCGGAGGGGAAAAAAAAAAAAAAAAAAAAGAAGGAAATCAATGAACGCGGTAGGCGATATTTCTTCATTTTCGACCAAATAGCGTAACAATTTCAACACGGGTTATATAGCCGTGTCATAAACTAAAGCATCGGATAGCAACGCCAATTGATGTATCGACAAGCAACGTTGCACGCAGCTATTCCATCCTTTCAATAGGGACTGAAGCTAGGTTAAAGTATACTTCTCGGAAGGACCATTCTCAGGATCGCATCGATTCACTCGTTTAGACGAACGGTAGATTTATTAATTTATTAATTGCCTCCTCAATACTGAGCGGATAAGACGACCTATTCTCGGTATTGGTTTACGTATATCGTGCAAGTAGGGAAATTCGGATGATATTATGGATTTAACTATGAATGTCTTATCATAAGCCAGAATATCCGATAAGAGTGAAGATCTTCCATGAAGAGCACGACTGAACCAATAATGATGGAGAATCGTCGATATTTGAAACAACTGTAACTTTGTTAAGAAAAAAAAAAAACATATAATAATCCACTTGATCTCGTTTTGAAGTGTCAAGCCTCTACTTCTAAGTTCTTTCTTCCTTTTTCAAAGACGTTTTAACGTCACACATTTTATTCTTGAAAATTGTAGAAATTCAGAAAACATTTTTTTCGTGACTAGATTCACTACGGTTTTTTAAAGATGGAAATTTTTTCGTTGCGACGATCTTTTGAAACTTGTTGATGACGATTTTTTCGTCGTCATTTGATTGAATTTTAAATGTTGGTGTCGAAAATTGTAACATAACTTTATTACTCTGCCTTTACTATAAAAATTCTACATACATATTTCGCTAATAGATATCAAAAGTTTTCTATCGAAGAAAACTCAATTTCTTCAAAATTTTACAATTACTGCCTCATCTATTGCGAAAACTGAAATTTATATTGTATAATGTACTACTATTAATAATAATAAATGTAATCATTCCAAATATTGACTTTTACAACGTTGAAATTTAGAAGTTTGTTCCTTTATAATTGCTATATTTTTCTCACGAAAGAAATACATAATTAAACAAGCACGAGTTCCAATGATAGATTCTAATTTTTCCGACCTAGACGATCCTATCTGAAATTGAAATCTACAGGTATTTATTTATTAATAATTAGTAATTATTAATCATTATATTCTACTCAATAATAAAGATATTAGAAACTCACGAAAGAAATATTAGCAATGAGAAAATCAACACAATTTTTCACGCGTTCTCATTTAAATTCTAATTTAGCTTTCTAGCTTTGGATTCTTGCAACAGTCGAAACTGATGCTACCTAGGTACCTTTTGACCGATTATTTGACGTGAACAGAGTTCAATCTGCGGTCAATCAATGGTCACTGGTGGCCACTTTCCTCAAAATCATTTCTACCGACTGCCTCACCGCGCTGTGGACGCTTCTGAAGACCCCCTTCCGGTTCCAATTACTTTTGTGGATAGTGCGTCCAGCCTCGATCAGTGATCGGAAATAATCTATCACTCAACCGGTTTCCTTTCTGGTCACATGTTCGTGGTCTTACGCCGTGTAATGAAATTGGAACTTGAAATCTATATTTTACGAAGGATTCTGGAGATATCAGGGGACACAGGAATATTTGAACAATAGGAAGATCATGACATTGAGGAAGTCTATCGACAATTGGAATAAGGCGTGACAGTGTGAAAATGGAAAACGCAGCTTTTCCATAAACAAGAAGAAGTAGTAGAACTTTTCCATGAACGAATATACGACGAGTAAGATTTGAAATAGTTTTCAGACTGTAATTTCAATTCTATAATTCCAAAAAGTATAAAAGGATCGAAAGTAGAGGATCTAGATCAGGTTGAAACAAACTAAAACGACGCCTATATGAAACTGTGATATATATATATAGTTATATATCATAAGTTCCAAATCTTCCTCTCCTGTATCTTTCAAATGAAATGAAATCGTGCGATAGTTTTTCTTTTCTACGAAAAGTTCATAGAATAGAAGACGTAGAACATGTCGTCAAAATATATAATAACTAACAACTTCAGTTCGCATTATGCGCCACATTGTATTAATTTGAAATCACATTAAATTACGTTCTATCGTTCCCAAGTGTACAGATAAATATTAAATTTATATTTTATTATTTTATACTTTTTATACTGCGCTGCATGTTGCATTTTGTCAACTGCGCTGTGATCGTACGAATGGTCGCCGCGATCCGAAATAAAATATTAATAATAATAACTTCGTTGCACGTGTACTTTCGAACGACAAAGTCGATCGAGAATCGAGTCGCAGCAAGATGGCGATCTCGCGCTAACGCGTTAACGTCGTTCGTCTTCTCCCCGAGATATTCTCTCGCATTTCCATGGTACGCGGACAAACACATGCTCCACTTACCAGACGCGCGCGTCGCCACCCCCGACCGTTACTCTCGACGTCGAGTGAAAAGTGCAGTTCTCAGCGGGCTCTAAGTCTGATCAAACAAATGGCGACTGTTGAAAAATTCATGAACCAATCGAAGAAGACGCGGAACCCTTGCAGCCGAGCTTCGTCCTAGACACCGTTCCGCGCGACCTACCACGTTCTGTCACGCGGATCTCCCATTGGCAATCTCTACTGTTTACGCTTTCTCCTTTAATCCTGGGAACGTGATCGCGAGTTAAAGACTGCTGGGACTGAAAAACCGATTGAAACGCCGGTTGAGGCACTCGGTTGCGTCTGGTTGATGATTTTGGAGGTCGATATTTTTCCTTGGCGTCGAAGAACGACAAGGGAATATGGTCAGGCGTTTATTTCGCTTGGAATTAATGATTAAGGGGAAGAAGTAAGAAATTTCGGAAAACATTTTACTCGATCGAAGGACACTGTTAATTTTTGTAAATAGATGACTTTTAATCTTTGAAGTCGTTTGTCTTTTTCGTTCCGAATTAATTTTGCACGTTGTTGTAACAGTTTTACTAGTCATTTTGTATTTGATTATTAAAAATCATGGAAGATCGCGTATGATATGTCCTCTTAATTTTTATCGAATATCTGAAAACAATTTTTAATTTTAATCGAGGTGTTGAAAGCAGAACAGATATACATAGGAAAGAAAATCATCATATATTTGGTTTATTTTCACCAACAATTTTAATGAAATTAAATTTAATATTTCCTAATCTTCGTATACGCGAAGAACATTCGTATAGAGTTTCATTGATACATGTTTCAATTTCAAATTTAAATTCGCCCACAAAGTATAACGTTTCGCGGAAGGTCTGTGTGCCGCAACTTTTACTTTTCTAAAGTGGAATAAATGTTCTCCTCTTTAACTGGGATTTTTCTTCTCTCCTTCGAGAAAATAAATTTGTACAGAAACGTATGGAATAAAATGTTTCAGCGAGCACGCTGTATTTTATAACGATCCCCTTGAAACAGAAAAAGGACAATAGTCGGGAAATTACAGTCGTTTCGCAACTAATTAAAAATTTTAACAGTTTCGATCGATCTCTGCTTCATTACTGTTACTTTCATTTACCAGGAGATCTGCAAGCGAAATTGGAGATAGAATGTTAATTTAGACATTAATGTCGACTACTCCCTGTTACGCAGTAAACTTGATAAAGCAATTTTGTGACATTCTTTATCCCTCGCCCTCACTCTTTAATTTACGTCGTTCTATTATTTTGCAAAGACCAATTTCCCACCAAATTTAGAAGTAAAATGTAATATGTACTTATTAGTTAATTTTAAAGAGCTCAGACAACGTCACTTTCAAAAAATAATGAAGCACACCTCGAATTTATTAATTCTCTATAGGCACTGTATTTATCATTCGTAGTTAATAAATAAATTTACTACTTGTTGCGTTGGTGTACATTGTAAACCCTTATTGCGATCGTTTCTATTATTTTTATTACTATATGCAATATGCAGGTGCTGCGGAACTGTGATATATTTATTAATTTAAAATAAGTATATTTTAAATAAAGTTATTAATTTAATTTATTAATTAAATTTATTAAAAAAATAAATACATTTATTAATTAAAGTAAAAATAAATATATTTATTAATTTATCTATATGTGCTTGTAATATTTCATTTTATCATCAATAATTCTATTCAACAATCCTCTTTATTTTCTATAGAAAATAATACAGATTTGTGTATTTCTGTTCACTGTCAGAAATAATAAAAATACAATAGTGTGTTCGCGGTCACGAGCCGTCATTCTAAACATTTAAATCCACGAAATTTACAAAATACGGTCTAACAGACATACGCGATAAAAAAAAAAAAAGAGAACGTGTATAATCTTCCATATTTCAATTTTCTTTTGATTTCCCTGCGATGCTGTCTTACAAAGGATTAAATAAAGACCACGAGTGTTCTTCAGTTCGTAACAACGAACTTTTCGGTCCGTGAAAAGTCAAGATCGGACGATCGACGCATGATGGGCAAACGTGTTGGAGATCGAGAGGGGGGGGGGGGAAGTGAGAGATAATTCTCCAAGTAAATTCCGTGCGCGAGCTGGACGGGTTTCGGGAACGAGAGGAATAGAGGAAGTGTATATGGCGGCGACGGTCGATCATAAAGTCCACGGGATACGAACGTGTAACTTTCATGGGTGCTCTTCAAAGCAGTCGCTGGAGGAGCGACTCGAATCTCGGGATATCCCGAGCGGTGTAGCTCGCGGCAGGAATATAACTTGGAAAATCCTGGCGCGTCGATCCTTCGATACCGGAATCCATCTTTCGCGGCAATCCGCTACCCTCTTCCGTTCCTAACCCGGTCGATCGAACGTTAGAAAGCAGACGAGGAAGGAGAAAGAAGAGCGGCCGGGAAAGGAGGTAGAAAAATGCACGAAATGGGCGAGAATGGCGTAAATGTCGCAGTGCAGATTCCGCGGCAAGAGCTTCGGGCACGACGGGGAATTGCTCGATCCTTATCCATTCGCGTGCATCTTTCAGGAATAAATCGAGACACGCGTGCTAGAGATTCTCTAGCACGCGCTAGAAATTAATTAAACGACGACGAATTTCGATTAAATGATGACGAACCAGGTTCAGAGAAATTCGTTAGGAAGTTAGTAACTTAAAATCGTTTTTGTAGAAATTTTAAATGGATTTCTGGGGTGAAAAAACTCGTATAATTATATCGTTTGAATAAACGAGATTAATAATTTATCATTATAATATGTTGTTTGAATAGACTAAGAATTTTGTACGGCGTGATACAGTGAAGTATGCAATGCAACAACGAAAGGCAACGAGACAACGACAAATGGCATGTCCCGATTTTAGAGTCAAAACTACGTGCATTCTGAGAAATTCAGCTCTTTTAAAATTTCTTTATAAATTCACAGAAATCCGTAGTCTAACCATGATGCAAAATGTGTGCTATTACAATATCATTTTGCCGTCACATAACCGTTATACAAGTAAAACAGTGACTCTGTTGTCAGTATTTCGATAGCAATAAAATAAAAACAATTAACGAAAATAATGATGTTTGTACAAAAAACCATAAACCGTAACAAATATTGCAATTTTTATTATTGAAGAGATAGAACAGGGCTTGCGTTTAGATCAGAATATTTTATACAATCACAGAGATTTCAAACAAGTATAATTTGTGAATTATTCTTCTTTCTATACAGATTGTATCCAATCTATTATTACACTATTTTACACATCAATGAGAACGTTGTTTGTAGCAATAATCATTTTTTTTACGTGACAAAAAATCAATCGTCAGGTAATATTCTGGAGATTAATAATTAATAAATATTTCTCAATTGATACGCGAGAGTCGAATAACACGTCACGCGTTTTTCGGTGACCGAATCAAGATATCGAATATATTCGTCGACAGATTCTAATGTGTTGACGGCGAATGCGCAGACTTCCCGTGGATGCAGCAAACCCGTGGAAGGTAAGCGCGATCCGTGATGGCTGGTTACACGCGATATTCTCAAAAAAAGAAAAGAAAAAAAAACGAGCCACGAAAAGAAATTGGCCCGGCTGGAAAACCGTACTCGCTTTGAGCAAGGTATTTTCATCAGAGGAGATTGGTTCCCAAGAGTTCCTAGATTGCGTCCGTCCACTGGATTTTCCCTCGTAACAGGGCGTCCTTCCGTCGTCCCTGGTCCCTCGACCCACCTTTTTATCGGTCATTTCCCTTTCTTTCATATCCTGATTCCCCTTCTCCATCGCCGATGATACTCGACGCCGATACGCGCCGTATCCTTGTATACTCCGATCTCTTCGACTTCTTCTTTCACGGAACCGGTAGAGGAAAAGCGGAAAGTTGGTTGCTGGCCTCTAGATCAAATTTCCCGAGTGCTATTATTTTTCTCTTTTTTTTTTTCTCCCTCTCTCGCGCAACGAGAAAACGTCTTCGGAGAAGGTGGAGCAGAGCAACGTGGCTCGTTCACAAAAGGCTCTCGTTGCCTGGTGAAAATCGAGCAACGCGATCCTCTGGCTCGCGTACGTTTTGG